TTTAGACAGGGTTTCACTCTGTCACCCAGGTGGAGTGCAGTGGCACGATCTTGGCTCAGTCACTGCAGCATCCTCATCCCAGTCTCAGGTGATCCTTGCACCTCAGCTTCCCGAATAGCTGGGACCACAGGTATGCACCAGCACACCTGGCTAATTTTTTGTATTCTTTGTAGAGACAGTTTTACCACATTACCCAGGCTGATCTAGAACTCCTGGATTCAAAGGATCTGCCCTCCTCAGCCTCCTAAAGTCCTGGGATTACAGGTGTGAGCCACTGTGCCCAGCCTAGTCAACTTTTATGAATCACTTTTATTATTAAAACTTTTAAGTGAAATTCAATTTATACACCGTTTCTTATCCTTGAAATATTGTTTCACTTGGAACAGCAGGCTTCCATTAAGTACTCTTAGGCAATCAAAACAATGCCAACTAGAAAAAGTTATAGATGTTCCTGGACCTAAGACAAAAAAAAAAGTTATAGATGGTCAGAAATTATCTTTGTTTCGTTTATGATATTTCTAATATTTAACTTATTTATTATAGTACTATTATCTCTATACAATTATTAAAGAAAAAAGCTGGCCGGTTGTCGGGGCTCATACCTGTAATCCCAGGACTTTGGGAGGCCAAGGCGGGCAGATCACCTGAGGTCAGGAGTTCGAGACCAGCCTGACCAACATGGAGAAACTCTGTCTCTACTAAAAATACAAAATTAGCTGGGCCTGCTGGCACATGCCTGTAATCCCAACTACTTGGGCGGCTGAGGCAGGAGAATCGCTTGGACCAGGGAGGCAGTGGTTGCGGTGAGGTGAGCCAAGATCACCCCATTGCACTCTAGCCTGGGCCACAAGAGTAAAACTCTGTCTCAAAAAAAAAAAAAAAAAAAAAATTTACCTGTGTATTTTGAAAATAGATCACATTGTTAAATTGGTATCTGAACCTTTTCTCTGAACATTTTATGTTTCCTTCTTTGGAAAATATGTTTATAAAGAAGAAATTTCAAGATAATATTTGTGTTTGTGGCCCAGTGTTTTTAGATTCTGATTTGTAAGGTTGGTCTTTTAATTAATTTTAATACTGATTTCAATTCTGTCTTCTTCATAAGTAGGCTACATGTTTGACAAAGATGGGCCAGTATAGAAGAAATGCCAAGTTTTCTAATCTGCTGCTGCCCTTGGGTCTCACCCAGGCTGGAGTACACTGGCACAGTTAGGTCACTGCAGCCAGGAATTCCTGGGCTCCTGTGAGCCTCCCACTACAGCCTCCCAAGCAGCCAAGCACTAGGTGTGTGCTAACATGCCGGGCTAATTTTTTTTTTTTTGAGATGAGTTTTACTCTTTTTGCCCAGGCTGGGTGAAATGGCATGGTCTCAGCTCACTGCAACCTCCACTTCCTGGGTTCAAGCAGTTCTCCTGCCTCAGCCTCCCAAGTAGCTGAGCTATAAGCACCCACCACTATGCCCAGCTAATTTTTGAATTTTTAGTAGAGACGGGGTTTCACCATGTTGGCCAGGCTGGTCTTGAACTCCTGACCTTAGGTGATTCGTTAACCTTGGCCTCCCAAAGTGCTGAGATTACAGGCGTGAGCCACCATGCCCAGCTGCCAGGCTAATTTTTAAATTTTTTTGTAGAGATGGGGTCTTGCTTTGTAGCCCTGGGTGGTCTCAAAACTGGCTTCAAGTGGTCCTCCTGTCTTGGCCTCCCAAAGTGCTAGGATTATAGGCATGAGACACCACACCTGGCAAATTTGCTTTCTATGGTACAAATAGCCACAGGCAAGCAGAATAAAGTTACTCTTTGAAACAGCTCCAACTTTACTTTTGAACAGGAAAGTCAACAGCACAATCCTACCTAAAAATAAGCTTGACATTAGACTTAGATAAATCTTTTAAAATGTGAAACATATGGAATTTATGCAAGATAGATGTGTTTTCTAAAAGTAAGTCTTTTTGCGTCACAGTAAGAAATGTTTATTTTAATAATAGAATTCTGTGGCCAAGGACAAGAACTTTTACTCTCTTATAATAAGTTGTGGTTGCTTGGCTATAGTATTAGTTGGTGCAAAAGTAATTTTAGAACATTTAAACCTTTTTTTTTTTTGAGAATAGAGTCTCGCTCTGCTGTCTAGGCTGTAGTGCAGTGGCGTAATCTCGGCCCACTACAGCCTCCGTCTCCTGGGTTCAGGTGATTCTCCCACCTCAGTCCCTTGAGTAGCTGGGATTACAGGTGTGTACCACCACACCCGGCTAATTTTTGTATTTTTAGTAGAGACAGGGTTTCACCATGTTGGTCAGGCTGGTCTCGAACTCCTGACCTTGTGATCCATCCTCCTTGCCCTCCCAAAGTCTTGGGATTACGGGCGTGAGCCACCGCACCCGCCCATTGAAACCTTTTTGGGAAGAAAAATTTACTTTGAAAACATAGGGAAAAAAAAGTATGGGAGGAAATCAATTCCCCCCACCTTCCCATTTAGAAATGGGCATTCAGAATCAGAGAATTTTTTTTCTTTTTTTGAAATGGTCTCTGTCACTCAGGCTGGACTGCAGTGTCATGATCATAGCTCACTGCAAATTTGAACTCTTAAGGGCTCAAGCAGTCTTGAGTTCAATAGCTCAAGATTTTTGAGGGTTCAAGCAATCTTCCCAGTTAGCCTGTAGAGTAACCGGGACTACAGGTGCATGCAACCATGCTTGGCTAATTTTTTTAAATTTTTTGTAGAGACAGTGAGGCGGGGGGCCTCAATTACGTTGCCTAGGCTGGTCTTGAACTCCTGGCCTCAAGTGATCCTCCTGCCTCACCCCAAGAGCTTGGATTGTAGGCCTGAGCCACCACGCCCAGCTTAGACTCAGGATTTATGCTTCTGCCACTAGTTGCATTTCAAATCCTGGGCCAAGTGACATCCTTTGTCTATCTACTTCTTATCCTTTAGGTTTCAGTTTAAACATTTGCTGTAGGAGAACTTTTAAATTTTTTTTAATTGAGAAGGCCTGTACTTTAAAAGAAATAAAGTTTATGTTTTCTTCCAAATGAGAAAATCAGTTGGAGATGTCTGTGGCCCTCAATTTATTATGTAGTACTTTTATCTACTTTCTATTTAACCTAAAGATACAACTACTTCTCAGTGAAGTTGTTCAATCAATTTAAGTGTAGATTATCATCTATTATATTGCAATAAGATCCATACATAAGACAACCTGAGGCCGGGTGCAGTGGCTTACGCCTGTAATCGCAACACTTTGGGAAGCCAAAATGGGCAGATCACCTGAGGTCAGGATTTCGAGACCAGCCTGGCCAACATGGCAAAAACCTGTCTCTGCTAAAAATACAAAAAATTAGCTAGGCATCATGGTGTGCACCTGTAATCCCAGCTACTAGGATGGCTGAGGCAGCAGAATCATTTGAGCCTGGGAGGCAGAGGTTGCAGTGAGCCAAGATGGTGGCCACTGCACTCCAGCCGGGTGACAGCAAGA